GAGTAGCTGGGATTACAGGCATGCGCCACCATGCCCAGCTAATTTTTTGTATTTTTAGTAGAGACGGGGTTTCACCGTGTTGACCAGGATGGTCTCGATCTCTTGACCTCGTGATCCACCGGCCTCGGCCTCCCAAAGTGCTGGGATTACAGGCTTGAGCCACCGCGCCCGGCCCAGATTTTGCATTTTTTAAATACAGACCCAGCAGGGAAGAACCATACTCTTAGATTTTATTTTATTTATTTATTTTTTGAGATAGGGTCTTGCCCTGTTATCCAGGCTGGAGTGCAGCAGCTCGGTCACGGCTCATTGCAGCCTCAACCTCCTGGGCTCAGGTGATCCTCCCGCCTCAGCGTCCAAAGTTGCTGGGACTGCAGGCACGCACCACCATGACCAGCTTATTTATTTATTTATTTATTATTATTTTTTGAGATGGAGTCTTGCTTTGTTGCCCAGGCTGGAGTGCAGTGGAGCAATCTTGGCTCACTGCAGCCTCTGCCTCTCAGGTTAAAGCCATTCTCCTGCCTCAGCCTCCCAAGTAGCTGGGACTATAGCTGTCTGCCATCATGTGAGGCTAATTTTTGTGGTTTTTTTTTAGGAGAGTCAGGGGTTTCGACATTTTTGCCAGGCTGGTCTTGAACTCCTGATCTCAACTGATCTGCCTGCCTTGACCTCCCAAAGTGCTGGGATTACAGGTATGAGCTACTGTGCCTGGCCCAGCTAATTAATTTTTTGTAGAGACAGGGTTTCGCCATGTTGCCTAGGGTGGTCTTGAACTCCTGGGCACAAGTGAGCCACTTGCCTTAGCCTCCAAAGTGCTGGGATTACAGGCCGGGTGTGGTGGCTCATGCCTGTAACTCCAGCACTTTGGGAGGTCAAGGTGGGAGGATCAGCTGAGGTCAGGAGTTCGAGACCAGCCTGGCCAACAAGGTGATACCCCGTCTTTACTAAAAATACAAAAATAAGCTAGGTGTAGTGGCATATACCTGTAGTCACCACTACTCCGGAGGCTGAGCCAGGAGGATCACTAGAACCCGGGAGGCGGAGGTTGCAGTGAGCTGAGATCACACCACTGCACTCCAGCCTGGGCGACAGAGCGAGGCTGCATCTCAAAACAAACAAACAAACAAAAACCAAACCCACCCCCCCAAAAAAAAGAGCAAAGTGCTGGGATTACAGGTGTGAGCCAGTGTACCCAGCCACTCGGAATTTAATCTCAGTGAATGAAGTGGTCTGCCCAGGCACCCTGACTGTAGGAAGCAGCACAGCCAGGATTTGAACGGGGACTGCCTGACACCAGATCTCAAGCGCCTCTCCTTTACAAACAGCACACACACTTTGTCCACGTGATCACTCTGCCTCAGTGGCCTTTTCTTGTGCCTATGTCCTGTATACCTTGAGGGGATCCAGGTAGGAACCAAGCTGGACTGCAGTAGGGCTCAGGAAGTGCACCTGAAATGTGCTTCCTTCAACTGAAAACATGAAGCCACTATGTGCCAGGTGCTATTCTAGCATGTGGGACACAGCAGTGGGGAAAAGAGAGTAAATGATCCTCCTTTGGTGAGAGTACCTTCTTCTTGTTGACAGACAGTGAACAAAATAAAGAAGTAACACATATAGCAAATCAGATGATGATAAAAACTGAAGAAAAGTAGATAAGGATTGGTACTACCAGGGGTAGGGGGATTGCAATTTAAAAGAGGTATTGCCACACATCCACCAGGATGGCGTAAATGAAACACAGACAGTGCTGTGCGCTGGGAAGATGTGGAGCAATGGGAACTCTCGTGTGCTGCAGGTGGGGGTGCCATTGATTTCCCATGATAGAAAACTGTTTGGCAGTAACTCCTGTAGCTGAACCTATGCTTAGACTATGACCCAGCAATCCACTCCTACGTATACATCCAACAATTGTATAGATATACTCACTAAGAGATACCCTAGAATGTTCTTAGCAGCATGATGCTTAGTAACTGGCAATAACCCAAATGTCCATCAAAAGTAGAACAGATAACTAATCATATCCTTCATAGTATGGGAATTATGCAGCATTGAGAATGAATGAAAGAACGAATGCTGGTGCGACTGAGTGGATGAAACTCATCCATATCATGTTGAGTGAAAGGAGACACACACATGTGATGTGTCCATTTATATAAACTTCAGAAGCAAATTTCTCTAGGGGTTGAGAAATTAGAATCGTGTTTAGCCAGGGTCAGAGAGAGGGCTAGTGATTGAAAGGGGTGCACAAGAGGGGCTTCTGGGGTGCCAATCAAGTTCTGCATCTTGATCTGGGGGCCGGCTACAGTGGTGTGTTCACTCTGTGAAAATGTATCAAGCTGGTTCCTTATGATGCAGGGACTTCCTACGTGTATGTTTAACAAAAATAGGAAGATCTGGCCTCACTTGGAAGGTTCTCTTTTTGCAGGAGCCAAAGATAAGGAAGAGACCAACAAGAAGGAGCTATATGAGAGCAACAAGCGTTTCCTGGGTCCCTACAACTCAGTGAGCCCGTGCCAGAACATCCTGCGGGTGATCGCGGTAACCGCCTAGTGCCCACCCAGGAGCGGAGGGTGGGGGTGAGGAGGGGCAGCGCCACCTTCCCAGCTTTCCAGGCTTTGTGGGACGCCTCCCCACCACCTGCGCCTGTCCTGGGTACCCTCCCCCTCTCCTCTGTGCCACAGTGCGTGGACTCCCTTCTCCCTTGCGCATGTCACCCTGTGCTGTGTGCAGGGACAGGCCACTCCTGCTTTTGTAGCTCCTCCCTAAAGGTTCAGCACTTACCTGTTAACTGAACATTCCCCACCCTCCCTGTTGACCTCTGCATGTGGGTGTCAGGCCATGTCTGTGCCTCTGTGCACAAAGCTCAGGCTGCTCATCAGTGTCATGATCTCGGCACCTTTGTTTCAGGAATTTGGAGACTTCCTGGGGCCCCAGCAGGTAAAGGACCTGCTGCTGGCAGCCCTGGAAGGGCTGAAAGGCAGCTCAGAGGCTTCGGGGAAGGACTCCGGGGAGACGATGCAGCTGGCCTCGGAGGTCACGCTCAGCTGGGTGCTAGAGTGGTACCGCCACAGGGTGCTGGAGGTGGTAAGGCGTCCTGGGGGCAGGGACTGAGCTGTCACTGGGGCTTGGGAGCCCCCATGGCCTGCTCATTACTGGCCTGCCTGACAGTGGGCAGGGTAGGGGATACCTGAACCCCCTAACCTCTGGGGGAGGGAAGGGATGCTGGCGGCTGAGTTCTAGGTGCTCCCACCTTGAAGGTTTTCTCTTACCACCCCTGAAGGAACTCAGCTGACTTGGTGGCGGGTGGAGGTGGGTTTGGGGGTAGAAGGGTGTGTAGGGAAGGGTAGTAAAGGGAAACTGGCCGGCTCCCGGGGGGCGCAGGTGCTCTGCTTGCCTCTTCGTCTCTCTCCTTTGGGCCTTCTCCCCTGCTCTCTAGGCTGTCGCCCGCTTCCCTCCCCCCACCTTCCTGCTGCCCCCATGCCTCCCTTGGCTTCTCCACTGGGCTGTCCACCTGCTCATGACTGCCCCTGCTGTGCCCCAGATCCCAGAAATCATGCAGGGCATCTACCTGCAGCTGAGCCACATCCAGGAGCCTCGGGCCCGTGAGGTGGCCCTGCTGCCCGTCTCCCTCCTGGCCAGCTCCTTCATGACCGAGGTCGTGGTGGCCCTGCTCATGTGCCCCCTCCCACTGGACAGGTACCAAGTGAACGGGTTCCCAGCCACTGCATCTTACAGGGTTCAAGCAGCCCTCCCAAGTTGGGGACCCCTTTCTGCCCAGATGGCCCCTTGCCCTCCCAGATGGCCCCTCTTCTGTGACCTGTGGTGCTTATGATGACCATGAAGTACTTCCTGAGCACTGCTGCTGTCAGCACCAAGTATTCCCACAGTCTCTCATTCTCACAACATTCCCACTCTGCAGATGAGGAAACTGAGGCTTAGGGAAGTTTCTTGCCCCAGGTACTCATTGAGCAAGCACCAGGATGGAAGACCTAAACTCAGGTCTAACTACCAGCCCAGAGCTCTTTAACAGTGCCATTGAGAGGAAGGTCTGAGTGTCCGTCTGAGCGTCCATCCTGACTCTGCCTCCAGCTACTGTATGGGTCTTGGGTAGCCTGTTTGCTCTCTCCTTCCCCTATAGGCAAAAGAAGGAAAGCATCCCTGCAATCCCACCCCAGGTGGGTGGTCATGACAGAGTCAGGCAGCCAGTGGTGCCGAGTGCCTGCTCGGGCCTGGGCCGTGCGGAAGGTGCTCCATGCTCACTGTCTTCAGGGAGTTAATGACCTGATGGGCAGAGGGGACTGTGGTCACATAGTGAGCTCGTGGCCAAGGGAGGCCAGTCTGGCTGGCTTCAGCCTTCCAGCCCTGGAAATGCTCCCATGCCTTCTTTGAATGAGTAAAATAAGGCAGTGAGCAATCCACACCTTCGGGTGGTTGTCTGAGAGCCAAAGAACTGTGCAGAGCTGTGCAAATGGGGTGTGCTCCAGTAAGGACAGTTGATGTCATTCATAGAAACCAAGATCAGCCGGGACGGCGAGGGCACAGCTGGCACATCCCAGCCTCTCGCTTGGAAGAATTAAACCCTTTCCGGCTGCACTGACCACCAGGGTTGTTTTTTTTCTTTCCCCCCTTGGGTCCACTAAGCAGTCAGACTCACAAGACTTCTGGGGCCCCACCTGGAATCTGTCACTCAGGATATGGGACAGGGCAGTGTCAGGAGCTCCTCTTTGTGGGGGTCCTTTCAGCAGCCCCCACAGCAGGCCAGACGAAGGCACCCAGGGCACAACATTTAAGGAGATAGTCTCGGCGCCAAGTCTGCACATGTGTGAGCCTGAGCATGAGGCCTTCCTTAGAGCTGGTACCCTGGGTTCTCACTTTCCTCACCCTAGTCTTGGCCCTGAGTCTAGGAGCTGGTCTCCAGGGCCTCCCGGGTGAAAGCTCAGGTGTGACAGAAGGAGGCCCATAGGGTGGGAATAGGAGCTGCTCTGGCTTAAAGGGCACAGGCCTCACAGGGACTAGTATCTTTTACAACATCTTGGCTTTGCTTCCAGGGCCCCCAAAGGGACAAACCCAGTTACAAGGGTCACTGCATCCCGGGAAGCTCAATGCTAGTGTCCCCATCAGTTCTTATAGTTAATTTATAGTTCCTCCTAGTCCAGATGTAATTTACCAGTGGAGTCATTATTACCATAAGTAATGTTGCCTAGCAACATAGTTGCCATACTGTATCAGGTTTCCAGGGGAACGGAGCTGGAAAGGGAATGGAGGTAGAAACGCTCCTGTAGAAGGGGAAAGGTGATCGGAGTGCCTGCAGGCTGGCGTTTGGTGGGGTGCAGATGCTTTTCCTTACCTGATGTACTGCCTTCTAAGGGACGGGAGCAGGGGCTCCCTGATATTATGTGACAAGTGCGGGATCCTAGCCCCAGGCCGCTCAACCACACTGATTCTTGCTCCTTGGTTAGAGGAACGAGCAAAGGCTTTGGAGACATCAGACCTGGCCACATCTTGGCTCTGCAGCTCATTAGCTGTGTAATCTTGGACTGGTAATTTCACCTCTCTGAGTCTCAATTCCTCATCAGTAAAATGGGAAAAACAACACTCACCTGAGGGCTATTGTGAGAATTCAGTGATCTTGAGTATCTGGAATTCTTTTTCATATCGGTATTCTCCAAGATTTGCCTAGGGCCTGGTGTACAGTAGATGCTCAGCTAATCTCTGCCGAAGTAATACATTGCATGTAAAGCACTTGGCAGGATACCTGGGAAATAGGTTTTTATGGAGTGTCGCTCTTGTTGCCCAGGCTGAAGTGCACTGGCGCGATCTCGGTTCACTGCAACCTCCACCTCCTGGGTTCAAGTGATTATCCTACATCAGCCTCCCCAGTATCTGGGATTACAAGCATGTGCCACATGCCTAGCTAATTTTTTGTATTATTAGTAGAGATGGGGTTTCGCCATGTTGGCCAGGCTGGTCTTGAACTCCTGCCCTCAGGTGATCCACCCACCTCAGCCTCCCAAAGTGTTGGGATTACAGGCGGGAGCCACTGCGCCTGGCTGGGAAAGAGGGTTTCTCATCCTTCTAGCCCCTGCCTCTTCGGGAGTGTTTTCTGGACCATTCCTTGCAGGTGTGCCCATGGATGTCATTTCATTGACATCTGAGCTTCCCCCTCCTGAAGCCATTTGGAGGCTGGGTGAGCGCCACTGCCCTGGCCACCACTAATCGTCCCCATCTCTGACCTCTCAGCAATGGAGCAGATATGTGGAGGCAGCTGATACTGCGCAAGCCCAGCTGTGATGTCCGAGACCTCCTGGATCTGCTCCTGGGCAGCCTGAAGGAGAAGCCTGTCACCAAGAAGGGCCGGGCTTCCATCGTGCCCCTGGCGGTGAGCATCCAGTCGGCCAGCCCCTGTTGCTGCCTGTCCTGCCCTGCTCCTCTCCTTCCTTCCTGCTGAGCTCAGCACACCCGGCCTCCAGGACCACACTCGGCCGTAACTAGTTGTGTGGCCTTGGGCAGGTGTCTGGCTCTGACTCTTGTTTGTGGTTCACTGGACAATAATGGTGTTATCTATGGTGACAGCAGCAGCCTGGGAGAGTGGAAGCAGAGTGACTTGGAGTCACAGACAGTCTAAATCCTTGTTTTGGCTGGACATGCTGGCTCATGCCTGTAATTCCAGCCCTTCGGGAGGCAGAGGCAGAGGGTCACTTGAGGCCAGGAGTTCGAGGCCAGTGTGGGCAATACAGCAGGACCCCTTCTCTCTTAAAAAAAAAAAAAAATCCTGCATTACCATTTTGTGACCTAGGTAAGTCACTTCACCTCTATGAGGCTCAGTTTCTACCTATGTGAACAGAAATAGTATCTTTCTTATATGGCGACGACGAAGGTTATGTGAGATAACACATTCATTCATTTAGGTGACACAAAATGTTTAAGCACTTCTTGCTGTCACACTCCAGGCTTGACCCTGAGAACACAGGGAAAGGCAGCTCTGATTCAGGAAGCTGGCCGGGCCGAAGAGATAGATTTCATTCTGCCTCTATTGCCACCACGCCAGCTGGGAAATGCTCCTGCTTACCTTCCTGCTTCTACTCCTGCCTCTCCAATTTGTACTGCAGCCAAAAAGCATTTGACAAATGTATGTCTCCTCTTCTCAGCCCCTTTCGTGGCTTTTTTTTTTTTGAGACAGAATCTTGCTCTGTCCCCAGGCTGGAGTGTGATGGCTCAATCTCAGCTCACTGCAACCTCTGCCTCCCAGGTTCAAGCAATTCTCCTGCCTCAGCCTCCTGAGTAGCTGGGACTACAGGTGGGCACCACCACATCCAGCTAATTTTTGTATTTTTGGTAGAGATGGGGTTTCACCGTGTCGGCCAGGCTGGTCTTGAACTCCTGACCTCAGGTGATCCCCCTGCCTTGGCCTCCCAAATTGCTGGGATGACAGGTGTGAGCCACCGCACCTGGCCCCCTTAATGGCTTTTCATTGCCCCCGAGAGCGACAGTGCTCCTACCTGTCGTGAAGGCCCTGCATCCCCGGCCGGCCTCCCCACACTCCCTGGTTCTCTTGCTTGCTTTGCTCCAGCCTCATGGGCCTTTGTCAGAACTTCAGCCATGCTATCTTGTCACAGGGCCTTTGCACATGCTGTTTCCTCTACCTAGGATGCTCTCCACTAAGCTAACTTCTCATCCTTCGGCTCTCAACTCCAGCATCACTTCCTCAGGGAACCCCTCCTTGATCTCCCTGACCCTGGTCAAATCTGTCCATGGTATATTTTGCTTCACATATTTTGTATGAAGAGTTTACCCCAGTTGTGATTCGACAATCCCGTGGACCATCCTTTGGTTTATCTGTGAGATGCATGAAGACAATGCCGTCCTGCTGTGCTCACTGAGATATCCCCAGTATCTGGCATGCACCTGGCACATAGTAAGCACTCAAAAATGTTTTCGTTGGGCTGATTTATTTATTCATCAAATGTTTAGTGAGCACCTCCTATGCTGTGTGCCAAGCAAACTTGTAGGTTCTGGGGATGCAGCAGCCAGGCCTTCTGGTAGAGGGAAGCACATAAAGATACAGTAGATGAAGGAGAGGGTGGTATTATCCCATTGCAGAGGCGGATGCTCCTGCTCGGAGACATTCCATGTCCCCCGAGGTCACATAGCTAGCAGTGGTGGTGCTAGGACTCAAACCCAGCACATCTGCTTTCAAATCCTGTGTTTCACCTCCGCATCTCTCTGCCTTCATCCTCCAGCGCTGAATTCTGAGCGTAAGGCACCCGCACTCCTTCCCTTGTAATTTGGGCAGTCATCTTCTTCTATAATCGGTGTATGTTAGTGTATTCTTCAGTCACTCATTTGTGCTTCTTGTTCAGCAAGCATAGTGTAAGCGCGGATAAATCCTGAACTCCTTCTGATCTTGTGACTCTAATAAATCATTTGAGCAAGATAGAGCCAAGAGCAGAGCCGGGCGGCACATCACTAGAGACTTTTCCCTCACACCACGACTGTGTTCTTTGGAGGCAATCGTTAGCTTTGGGCTGCGGAGAAAGTACAAGGGCTTTGAGCCCGAGAGACTTGCCTTAGCTCTGCCACTGCCTCACTATGACCGTGGTCAGTCACTTCCCTCTCCAGCCTTTGTGTTTCTATCTGTAAGACGGGCTGTAATCACTCCTGCTTTGTCCATCTCACTGTTGAGAAAGGGGAGATAGTGTATGTGGAAGAACTTCTTAAGCTGTAAAGTACAAATTAACTGCCATTTATTGTTCTCATCCAGCCCATGTTAGGGCACTTTTCTCCAAGGAAATGTGCCTGGGATTCTTTCACTTTGCAGTTAAATGCTTTCCAGATATGAATGGAGTCTTTTTTTTTTTTTTTTTTTTTTTTGAGACTGCGTCTTGCTCTATTGCCCAGGTTGTTGGAGTGCAGTGGCGCAATCTCAGCTCACCACAACCTCTGCCTCCTGGGTTCAAGTGATTCTCGTGCCTCAGCCTCCCGAGGAGCTGGGACTATAGGTGCTTGCCACTGCGCCTGGCTAAGTTTTGTATTTTTAGTAGAGAAGAGGTTTTGCCATGTTGGCCAGGCTGGTCTCAAACTCCTGACCTCAAGTGATCTGCCCACCTCGGCCTCCCAAAGTGCTGGGATTACAGGCTTGAGCCACTGCTCCTGGCCTGCGTGGAGTCTTAATGGCACAGCTGAAACCATTCATGTATAAAGCATGCCTACCTTCGCCCTCTCATTCAGGCTCTAACACTCCTGTGGGGCTGGCTGGATGATGACCAGTGAATCCACTTTTCAGAGACCTGAGGCTCAGAGGCACCAGCGAGTGATAGAGCCAGAATGAGCCATGAGTCCTGTGACTCCGGCCCATCGTCCACCCCCCACCCTCTAGTATTGCCCTCTTGGCAGTTAGAGAGGACTTGGTGGGCCAAGTATGGGGGTGGGCCCAGGCCAGGTCCAGAGCTGGACTGGCAGGTGGAGAAGCTGCCCGTGGTTGACAGCCCTTGAGGGCAGAGCTGGCACTTGAGCCAGGCTCTCGCTCAAGGCTGGTGTTGTTTTTCTTGGGTGCTGGCCTCATGGGGATGGGGGCGAGGACAGCATAGCTTAATGGCCCAGGGCGAAGAGGCCAGTCTGGTGCCCCTCACATTCTGTGTGCTTGTGAATGAAGAAGAGGCAGAGCATGCCATAGCTGGTATCTGAAAACCTGGATTCACATTCTAGCTCTGCCCCAAGGGGCTGGTGACCTTGACCTAGCAGCTTCACCCCTCTGAGTCTGTCTCCTAGCCCGCAAAATGAGAACAAGATTCTTTACCCCTCAGGTGGAAGGAATTCTTCCACCATGATTATTCCCAGGTTGCATAAACATCAAAGCCCTGGACCAAAAACTAAGGGTTGGACTGTTGTCCTTGCTGTGGGACAGGGCCTACCCAGAGAGCCAGAGGTCTGGAGCTGTGGGGTGGGGATCCCAGCTTCCCCAGGCTGGGCCAGACGACAGCAAAGACCCAGGTCCTACCTCCCAGAGAGGCAGTCCAGGCTCCAGCCAGGAGTGCTGGGAAGATGGGCCGGGACGTCCCAGCAGCCTCCCCTCTACCCCTTAGGCAGCCAGTGGCCTGTGCGAGCTCCTGTCTGTCAACAGCTGCATGGGCCGCGTGCGGCGCATCTACCCCCAGCTGCTCCTGGCCCTGCTCATTCAGGTCCATTACCACATCGGCCTCAGCCTGCCTGGCTGCATGGCTCCTCTCAAGGACGCCCAGAAGGACACACAGCCCTCTGCCTTCGTACCTGTGCGGTATGCTCTGCCATCTCTCTTGACCCTGCTGTCCCTGGTGGTGGGAAGGGCCATCCAGCCGGAGCCTCCAAAAGTCTCCAGGGCAATCGATCAATAGAAATTAGCTTTGGGACTAGAAGAGAAAACAGAAGCACCTTTTTATTAGAGCCAATGATTCATTCAACAATTGTTTTTGAGCACCTGCTCTGTGCATCACACACTGTGCTTAGTCTGGATCACAGGGAAGAATCAGCCCTCTCCAAGGATCTCACTCTTTAATTTTTCTTCCTTTCTCCCTAGAGATGTTATTTGTATTATGTTTGTATCCAAGGCCCAAACACTTTATTTTATTATTATTATTATTTTTTGAGATGGAGTCTTGTTCTGTCCATCCAGGCTGGAGTGCAGTGGCATGATCTTGGCTCACTGCAACCTTCTGCCTCCTGGGTTCTAGCGATTCTCCTGTCTCAGCCTCCTGAGTAGCTGGGACTACAGGTGCGCACCACCACACCCAGCTAATTTTGTATTTTTAGTAGAGATGGGGTTTCACCATGTTGATCAGGCTGGTCTCGAACTCCTGACCTTGTGATCCACCTGCCTCGGCCTCCCAAAGTTCTGGGATTACAGGCTTGAGCCACCATGCCCAGCCATTTTTTTTCTTCTTTTTCTTGAGAAAAGTTCTCACTCTGTTTCCCAGGATGGAGTGCAGTGGTGCAAACATGGCTCACTGCAGCCTTGACCTCCCAGGCTCAAGCAGTCCTCCCGCCTCAGCCTCTCAAGTAGCTGGCACCACAGGCATGTGCCACCACGCCTAGCTCATTAAAAAGAAAAAATTTTTTTAGGCTGGTGCAGTTGCTCACCCCTGTAATCCCAGCACTTTGGGAGGCTGAGGTGGGGAGATTGCTTGAAGTCAGGAGTTCAAGACCAGCCTGGCCAATATGGTGAAACCCTATCTCTACTAAAAATACAAAAATTGGCCAGTTGTGGTGGTGGGCACCTGTAATGCCAGCTGCTCAGGAAGCTGAGGCAAGAGAATCACTTGAACCTGGGAGGTAGAGGTTGCAGTGAGCTGAGATTGCGGGCATTGCACTCCAGCCTGGGTGTCACAGAGTCCGTCTTAAAAATTTTTTTTTTTTTTTTTGGTAGAGAGAGGGTCTTGCCATGTTGCCCAGGCTGGTCTCAAACTCCTAGGCTCAAGTGATCCTCCAGCCTTGGCCTCCCAAAATGCTATATGAGCTACCATGTCTGGCCCAAAAATGTTAAATTTTTATGTAGCCAAGTTTATTGGTCTTTTCTTCTTTGACTTCTATTGTGTGTTATGTACAGAAAGGTGCATTTAGAGAGGCAGAGGGCAAGAAGTCGTGTAGGTGGGCTTGAGTCTGAAGGTCTTGGATTCAATCCTGACTTCATCACCTAGAACGTTGTATTTTGGGAAAATGAGTTTTACCTCTTGGCAGTTGGTGTCCTTGCCTGTGAAATGGGTAAATGATTCCTGCCCCATAGGTGTGCTGTGAGGACTGGATAGGATCACATCCCAGCAAGACAACATTGCCAGCAGCATGGCCAGTTCCCCTCCCATCCTGCTCGTGCTTGTAGGTACCACCCTGAGAGCATCGCCCAGAAAGCTGACGGGCTCTGGCGAAAACCCAAGGGGGAAAAAAGGGAGGCTCTGGCGGGGGAGGAGGAACACATATGAGAAAGAGTTCTTGACCTTGGAGTGATGAAAGGTATGACCTGCCAACGCAAAGGGTGTGGCTCAGCTGAGGACATCGAGACGCTGAAGGAGGGCCCGAGTATCCGCCTCACCTCGGCATCTCAGAAGCAGCCTCAGAGGCAGAAAAAGCAGAGGCAGGCATGTGCCAGGCTGAAAGGGGCCAGAAAAGCCATGTGATGTAGTAAGCTAAATGGTGGCCCCCAGAAGACATGTCTGCCCAGAACCTATGACTGTGACCTTATTTGGAAAAAGGATCTTTGCAGGTATAATTAAGGATCTCAAGATGAGGGCCTCCTGGATTAACCAAATGGACACTGAATCCAATGCCAAGTGGCTTTATAAGGCAAAGAGAGGTCCAGACACAGGGGAGAAGCCTGGTAAGAAAGTAAGTGATGGGGTCACAAGCCAAGGAGTGCTGGGAGCCACCAGAAGCCAGAAGAGGCAAGGAAGGATTCTCCCCTGGCCTCTTCAGAGGGGTGTGGCCCAGGCTGGCACCTTGATTTTGGATATCTGGCCTCTAGAGAAAGAATATGTTTCTGTTGTTTTGAGCCACACCAGGTTGTGGTGATTTGTTACGGGAAATGAATCATCTGGGCTATGGCACTGGAGTGGTGCTCCAGACTGCAGTGATGAGGTGGAATAGCTCCACCGGGCGTCAGCACACACAGGCGGTCACTTCCTCAAGAGAGGAGAGGCAGACTCTGGTAATGAATACAACAATTACCTCTGCAAACAGCCTCAGGCTTGAAGGAGGAGGAGGGAGAGGCCTGAGAGCTTGTCCTGTGAAGCCCTATTTCTGTGCCTTCAAGGAGGGTGAAACTTACAGCAGCCCTGGGCTTTAAAGCAGCCTCAGCTGGGTGCAGTGGCCCATGCCTGTAACTCCAGCACTCTGGGAGGCTGAGGCAGGAGAATCACTTGAAGCCAGGAGTTTGAGACCAGCCTAGGCAACATGGCGAAACTCCATCTCTCCAAAAAAATAAAAAATTAGCCAGGTGTATGGTCCCGGCTACTTGGAAGAATAAGGCAGGAGGGTTGCATGACCCCAAGAGGTCAAAGCTGCAGTGAGCCATGTTTGTGCCACTGCACTCCAGCCTGGGTGACAGAACTAGACCCTGTCTCAAAAAAAAAAAAAAAAAAAAAAAAAAGAAAGCAGCTCCTTGTCAGATAAATCATTGGCTCTGGCGTCCCAGTGCAGGGACAGAAGATGAATATTTCAAGGTGTCCCTTGCTCCACTCTGCTGAGAAAGCCTTTTAGAAGGGTAAAATTGCGGAATAAGTGTTTGGGGCCACCAGAGCTGCCCCACCCACAGCACAGCCCTCCTCCCGAGAGTTTCAACTCTATTTTTCCACCAAGCAGCACAGGCGCCGTTTGGGTTATTTCAGGTATCACCTTGGGAGTGGGATGAGGAGGCAGGGAAGCGTGGCCCGGGACCACCCTGGGGTCAGGGGAGGGGAGGGGAGACCTTGGGAGGAAGGGGATCAAAAATGATCCTAGGGAACCTAGGATCTCTTTTGTGAAAATACGAAGTTGATTGAGGGGGTGAGGTGAAATGACAGAGAGGTCGAACTACGAATGATGCAGTTCTGAGTCCAGAAGCTTTGGCCTGAGTGCACATTCATCACACCACACACATGAGGCCTGGGAGGCGGGCCAAGCCGTGGCTATCTGGGACCTCTAAGTCAGGTCATTCCTTCTGAGCTTTAGAGCTCAATCTGTGCCCAAGCCAGTTTGTGAGAAGGTGTTCTGAATGATGACCCTGGAGGTAGGGACACACAGGGAGGGGAGGGTGGTCCCGTCACTGGAGGAGCATGGGCAGGAGGCTCATTCTGTCTTAGCTGAAGGTGCTAATGCCCGAACTTGAAGACAACAGCCTTTCTTTTTTTATCTTTTTTTTTTTTTTGAGATTGAATTTTGCTCCTCTTGCCCAGGTTGGAATGCAATGGCATGATCTCTGCTCACTGTAACCCTCCGCCTCCTGGGTTCAAGCGATTCTCCTGCCTCAGCCTCCCGAGTAGCTGGGATTACAGGCAGGCACCACCATGCCTAGCTAATTTTTTGTATTTTTAGTATAGATGGGGTTTCTCCATGTTGGTTAGGCTGGTCTCAAGCTCCCGACCTCCGGCTATTGGCCCACCTTGGCCTCCCAAAATGTTGGGATTACGGGCGTGAGCCACCGCGCTGGTCCCAACAACCTTTCTTCTCTAAACCAAAACCTGTACATCTCAGCTTCGCCATTCAGCCAGTACTTGCAGTTTTTGGGGAGAGGGAAGAGAATGGTGTGGGAGAATTGGACATCGCTGGGAGCCAGCCTGTCTTTCTCCCTCCCTTTTGTTTGTAACTCTGAATGCTGGAGGCATTGCCCGTAGGGGACTATCATTGACAGCACACATTTCAAAGAATAGGTACAGAGACTGAGTGATTCCAAAAGCTCTGCCCTCAGGAAAAGCTTTTATTTTCACACTGGATCAATATTTATTACAAAAGCAAAAACGTGAAAATGAGGGGCAAACTTCTGAGGATTACCTGATTACTTAAGACCTTTCTTTTGAATCATGAGAGCCACCAGCCCTTACTATCATCTGAGGTGTGTCCACAAAGTGTGCCATAAACTCTTTCAGCAAATGTTTAGGTTTCTGGAAAACTTGGTTTAAATGTAAGCTCTATTCTAGACAGTGTCAGTTTTTATTTATTTAATTTTATTTTATTTTTAAGATGGAGTTTCACCATGTTGGCCAGACTGGTTTTGAACTCCTGACCTCAGGTGATCCACCCACCTAAGCCTCCCAAAGTGCTAGGGTTACAGGCGTGAGCCACCGCTCCTGGCCAGGTTTTATTTTAATAAAGTGTATATAGGCCGGGCGCAGTGGCAAACGTCTCTTGTCCTAGCACTTTGGGAGGTGGGCGGATCACTTGAGACCAGGAGTTTGAGACCAGCTTGGCCAATATGGGGAAACCCCGTCTCTACTGAAAATACAAAAATTAGCTGGGAGTGGCGGTGGGTGCCTGTAATCCCAGCTACTTGGGAGGCTGAGGGACGAGAATCTCTTGAATCCGGGAGGTGGATGTTGCAATGGGCTGAGATCATGCCACTGCACTCCAGCTTGGGTGACAGAGTGAGACTCTGTCTCAAAAAAAAAAAAGAGTGTGTGTGTGTGTGTGTGTGTGTGTGTGTGTGTGTGTGTGTGTGTGTGTATAAAACTATAAACCTCTGTATGATACATCTACTTGTATAAATCACATGTGTGAACATGTAGCACCCTGCCAGGCATAGAGCAGGATGTCAGCACCCTCCCAGGCCTTCCTAGGCTCACTCCAGAGTTAGACAAGCACTGGCCGGAGCCCCAGTCTGGTCAGTTGGAGGGTCATAAAAGGTCCCCAGGGGCTGCTGCTGGGCATCCAGTTTGAGAATCACTCCTTAAGTGTCCCGAGGTGGAGAGGGACTCGGCCCAGAGAGGAGACAGAGTGAGCAGAGAGGCTGCCTGCACAGCCCATGGCTGATGGGGAGTGGAGGGTGAGAGGGGGCTGATCCTGGGAACCCGGGAAAGCCCGGTTCAGCCTCTTCCTCCAGTAAACAGGCTCGGGAGGAATTCTAGGGTAAAAGCACAGCAGTCATAGGGAGGTGACTTTGCTTCTGTTTCCCTTCTGGTTCTAAAAGCTAATGATTATTTGTAAAAATTCACCCTTTGTGTATACACTGAATGCCCCGACCTAACATGGTGGAGAACAGTTTGTCAGGCCAGATGGCAGGAGAGGCCGGGGTGGAGGGAGGCCTGGCCTGCCAGGGCCCGGCTAAGCATGAGGTCTCAGTTGTCTTGTCTTGGCAGCTGGGTGGTGAAAGTGGTGAAAACCCTGCTGCTGAGGATGGGCTGCTCTTACGAGGCCACGTTTCTGGAGGAGCAGGGTGGCTGGGAGCTCATGGAGCAGGCGGAGAGCCACCACCGTGGAGTGGCCCTGCTGGCAAGGTGAGGCCCAGGACCAGCTTGGGGTTGGGGTGGGGGGGAGCAGGATGGGGACCTCAGGATCTTCAGATGGACTTGGTTTGCATCTCTCTCGGGGCAAGACCCTTTGCACCTTCTGTCACTTCTTCTCCACAACTGGGAGGGTGCTATCTTCCTCAGCAGGTAGACAGTACAAATGCAGTAGATGGCACTCACGCTTTGGAGGTTCTTGGCAATTGCAGCATGCTTAGGTCACTCCCAGAGCACCTTTCCTTACTGTATTATGAGTTTAGTTCCCTTACCAATACAGAAACGGTGGTATAACCAAGTTGCTGAGGTGTGGCCGTGGAGGTGGCCTGACTGCATTTGAACCCCAGCTTGCCACTTGCCAGCTGTGTGACCTGGGGCAAGTTACTTCCCTCTGAGTCTCCACTCTCCCTCAATAGCATGGAAATAATAGTCAGACCTACCTCTGAGGGTGGGGATGAGGATTAATTAAAGTACTCTGAACAGGCCCGGCGAGGTGGCTCATGCCTGTAATCCCAGCACTTTGGGTGTTTGAGGGAGGTGGATCATCTGAGGTTAGGAGTTCAGGAGCAGCCTAGGCAACACGGTAAAACCCCGTCTCTAACAAAAGTACAAAACTTAGCCAGGTATGGTGGCATGCACCTGTAGTCCCAGCTACTCGGGAGGCTGAGGCACGAGAATTGCTTGAACCCAGGAGGTGGAGGTTGTAGTGAGCCGAGATTGCACCATACACTCCAGCCTGAAAAAAAAAAGTACTTTGAACAGCCCCTGGCATATGGTAAGAGCTCTACACAGGCTAATTTTTTACTATAGTTATAGTCACTGGTGTGGGAGGGATGATTAATACATATTTTGCACAGGAACGTGCCAAGTCTGGAGAAGAATTGTCATGTGTCACACAGGCAGGAAGTGGCAGAGCTGGATCATCTGCTGACCTAGACCAAAGCTCTTCCCCGGGCCACGCACAGCTTCCCATGGGGTCAAGAGGAGGCACCTTGATTCCAATGCTGTGACTCCTGCAAGAGCGCCTGCTTCTTAGCTCTGCACCCTAAGTGCTCCTGGAGGTGCTTTCCCCAGGGTCTCAGGATACAATCACATTTGTTGAGCACTTACTATGCTCTGGGCACCATGCAGAGAGCTGTCACATGGATGATCCCATTTAATCCTCACCATGACCAATGAAATAGCACTTTTATTACCATATATATACATTTATTTATTTATGTCAAGACAGAGTCTCACTCTGTCACCAGGCTGGAGTGCAGTGGTGCCATCTCCGCTCATTGCAACCTCCGCCTCCTGAGTTCAAGCGATTCTCCTGCCTCAGCCTCCTGAGTAGCTGGGATTATAGACACCCGCCACCATGCCTGGCTAATTTTTGCATTTTAGTAGAGACAGGGTTTCACTATGTTGGCCAGGCTGGTCTCAAACTTCTGATCTTAGATGATCCGCCTGCCTTGGCCTCCCAAAGTATTAGGATTACAGGCGTGAGCCACGGCCCCTGGTGAAATAGTACTATTACTATCCCAGCATTACACATGAGGTAACGGAAGCCTAGAGAAGTTATGTGTCTTTCCCCAGGTCACACAGCTATTGCTGAGGCCAGGATTTGAACCCAGCTGTCTCCTTCCAGACTGTATGCATGCTTGCCAGACTGCAGTGGATTCACTGATTGATGGTGCACAATGCAGGGCTCCTCCCACTTGAGTGCACAACGGAATCAGTTGCCAGGCCTGTTAAAACACTGGTTGCTGTGCCCCTGCTCTGAGAGCTCCTGCTTAGTAGGTCTAGGATGGTGCGCCTGTTTTTTGAGCTGGAGTCTCACTTTGTCGGCCAGGCTGGAGTGCAGTGGCGTGATGTTGGCTCACGGCAACCTCCGCCCTCCTGGGTTCAAGTGATTCTCCTGCCTCAACCTCTCAAGTAGCTGGGATTTCAGGCATGTGCCGCCACACCTGGCTAATTTTTTTTTGTATTTTTAGTAGAGACGGGTTTTCACCATGTTGACCAGTCAGGTCTCAAACTCCTGACCTCAAATGATCTGCCTGCCTCTGCTTCCCGAAGTGGTCGGGTGTGAGCCACGGTGCCCGGCCTGGGATGGCGCACTTCTAAGAAGCTCCCAGCTGATGCTGACCCTCTGGGTAGGTGGGGGTGGCACTTAGAGGACCACTGGCTTAGAATGAATGAGGCAACCGGAATATCAGCCCTTGGCTGGAGCTCCAGCCCTGCCATTTTCTAGCTCTGTGACCATGGACAGTTCACACTTAGAGCCTCTGTTTCCTCGTCTATGAAATGGGGATAATGACAGTAACCGGCTTAGAAGGATCGGATGGAGTCAGTGTGAAGTGTGCCTGCTGCCTGGTGCTTGGTGAGTGGGCTTTCGCATCCTCTCCTTCCTCTCTCTGCGGCCTGATGTAGTCCTGTGTGGTTGAGGGCCTTCGGCCTGTCTCTCTCACTGATGTGTGCTATGCCCTAGGCAAGTCTCTTTCCCCCTCTGGGCTTCAGTTTCTTCATCTGTAAAATGAAGCAGTTAAACTAGATGACCTCTGAGATCCTACCCAGGTAGAAAATCCTGGGAACACAGGAATCCAGGTGAACCTGGCTTACCCAGGATTTCCAGTGTCACAAGCAACCCTACCCCGCAGGTCCCCCTGAGGCTGGAGACCTGAGGAAGTGCTCCCCCTTCCCACCCCAGGGCCATGGTGCACTACTCCTGCCAGGAGCTGTGCCGCATCCTCTACCTGCTCATCCCACTCCTGGAGCGAGGAGACGAGAAGCACAAGATAACAGCCACTGCCTTCTTCGTGGAGGTACCAACTGGGGCAGCGGGCGCGCGGCGGGGCTCCTCCCGGGCCTGGGCTCACAACACACTCATTTCTCCTGTGTAAATACTACTTCATAGTTCATAAGGCCTTCCCGTGGGCGTGATTCCTCTTGACTACGATGACCCTGTTTCTCCCTTCCCCCCTCTCCCTGTCTCTCCACCATTCCACTCTTAACCAGACTCCCCTAGGGCCCAAGCAACCACCAACCTTTGCTGGGTACCTCTGTGTGTCAGGTGCCAGAGATATAAACGTGAATTTGACTCTACTCTGCCCTCAAGGAATTCTTCGTGTGGCAGGGGACACAGAGGACACCCCAGTTATAACATGGGGATGGTGCCAGTGAATGACTTGGGCTATGATGGGGCCTTTCAGGCTGCGGTGGGGAGACAAGTGACTTGAGGGAGGGAGGGAAGGATCAGGGAGGAAGGGCTTCCTGGAGGAAGTGACATCCCAGCTGAGTGTGTGTTGGGGAGGTGCTGGGGAGAGATGAGTCAGGAGAAGTTGGTAGTGACAGACCCAGAAGAGAGAGACGTGCTAATAATAACAGCTAATATTTATTGAGCACTTACTATCTTCCAAGCATGCTCTAAGAGCTTTACACACATTGATTCATTTTGTCTCATACTAATCCTGTGACTTAGATACTATTCCATGCCCCGTTTTAGAGAAAAAAACCCGAGGCATTGATTTAAGAAAGTTTCCCAAGACCGCACAGCTTGTAAGTGCCGGATCCAGAATTCAAAGCCAGACGCGTGGGCTCTAAAACCCGCTTTTTAGTTTTTAAAAATTTGTGGTAAAATGTACACAATATAAATTTGCCATTTTAACCAGGTGTCCAGTTCAATTACGTTAATACATTCATATTCTTTTTTTTTTTTTTTTTTT